TTTATCTTGAAAACTATAAAATATAGGATAGAGACTTTAAATAGCAAAAATGATTACCAAGATAAGATCAAATGAGTCAACATGGCCGAAATTGTCAATCGACTACTTATAGGAATTTTTGGTCTGTAATGACAATGTTTACCCATTTTTGGGATTTTAGCCTTATAAAAGATAGACAGACACTTTAAAAAACAAAAATTCAAGACAAGATCTACAAATAAATCAAGGCTGTCGAAATTATAGTAGACTCTGTACAGGAGTGGTTGTCCTTAAAAGACGATTTTTTTACCCTTTTTTGTGTTTTGGGCAAAAAATAAGAAGATAGAGAGAAACTGTTGCAGTAATAATTAAAAAAATGATCAGGCTATTGCTGTCATGAATTCTATTCTAGTCAACAATATTGGAGAGTGTCCACTGTAAAAGATGCACAGAGACTTAGATGAGCGACACAGGCTTTTTTGTGTAAAGGTACTGATTAATACCTACAAAACAAAAGGCCAAATTTTTATACTAAAAGTTGCTATTTCCATTTTAATTGACGTTTCAGTTGATGGTAATTGGGGAAATTGGGCGTCATGGGGAACTTGTTCAGTAACTTGTGCAAGTGGAACCCAAACAAGACAACGTCTGTGTGACAGTCCAGCAGTACAACACAATGGACAGGACTGTAGCGGTTCGGGTACAGAAACACAAACATGCACTAAAGTCACATGTCCAAGTAAGTATAGTCAATAATTTTAGAGGTGGAATTGATTAATTGATCGGGTTAAATCAAGTAAAAATTGCAGTTGTTTTAAAACTATATTTAAACTAAAACTAAACAAAAAATAGTCTTTATTCTGCAATAACTATAAATTATATGCCTTTTATGTTTCATGTCCAATCGAATTAATTTATATACCAGTAAATCCAGGAAAGACATTCGTACCCATGAAATTTCTTAAGTGTTTTTTTTTATCATTTTTTATCAAAGATATGGTTTGGACTGCAGAAACGTCACCAAAGGTATCTTTAAGCATGCAGTTATTACAAATTGCCGTGCTCACTTTATAAGAAATTTGGGAACGGAGCTTTAAGGAATCCCTAATGTGTAACATGTTTAGTTTTTATTTTTATCAGTCCCATTTTGTGTATTTGTTCTGATTTGTTTTTATTGTGTACCACGCGTATAAATTACATTAATAAAGAAGTCGATTGACATCTAGAACTGAATTCTTTCAATCTACTTTCTGCTGTTCCCTTTTAAAGAAGTAAACTACAAAAAGAACCAAAGAGCTCTACCTTTTACTATCTTACAACTGGTTTTTTTTCTGGTTCTCTTCACGGCAAACTTAAAATTCTAGAACACAAAAATAATAGAGAACATAAACATATTAAACAATATTCCAAATTCAATAGTTGATGTGAATTATTTGATTAATGAAAATGAACCTTAAAAATATCATCGTAATCCATATTATTACCTAGCACTGTCTTGAAGCTTAACTGGTACTTAAGAAAACTAACTATCAACAGAAATTGGAAATCCATAATATTGCTTTTTACATATGTTAAAATATTATTTATTCTTACACACACTTCTAAGTTGATGGTAATTGGGGAAGTTGGGCTTCCTGGGGAACTTGCTCCGTAACCTGTGCAAGTGGCACCGAAACCAGACTACGTCAGTGTGACAGTCCAGCAGCACAACACAATGGACAGGACTGCAGCGGTTCCGGTACAGAAACACAGACATGCACTAAAGTCACATGTCCAAGTAAGTGTAGTCAATAAGAAAACATGTATCAATATTTTCAGAGATGAACATGTTTACTGATCACTTTAACATTTTGCTGAGTTTTCTCTATATAAAATCGAGAATGGAAATGGGGAATGTGTCAAAGAGACAACAACCCGACCAAAGAGCAGAAAACAACCGAAAGCCACCAATGGGTCTTCAACACAGCGAGAAACTCCCGCACCCAGAGGCAGGCTTCAGCTGGCCCTAAACAAAAATGTGCACTAGTTCAATGTAAATGGACGACACACTAAACTCCAAAAACATTTAAATGAACTAAAATTAAAAAAAACATACAAGACTAATAAAGGCCAGAGGCTCCTGACTTGGGACAGGTGCAAAAATGTTGCGGGGTTAAACATGTTTTGTGAGATCTCAACCCTCCCATATACCTCTAGCCAATGTAGAATAAACAAAAACACAACAATACGCACAGTAAAACACAGTAGTTTAAAAGAAGTCCAAGTCCGATGTAAGAATAGGTAACAAAAAATTAAGCAAAATGACAATTATACATAAATTAACAAAGGACTACTAGGCAGGTATACTGACATGCCAGCTCCAGAACTCAAACAAACTGATTGAAAGATTATGTCTTCATCATATGAAAATCAAGCACAATCCCTCCCGTTAGGGGTTTACTATCATACCATCATAAAATATATCAGAAGAACATAACCCGTATCTTGCAAACGACTGGTTTTAGAATAAATGTGTTTATTTCCGATGCAAAGACCCTATGAGTGAATCAATATTAATACCAAAATATGCCGTCTTTAATGACCTAACAATAGTATCGTAACTATATCCCTTCTGAATAAGTCTGTTTAAAGGTTAGAAGTGAATGTCGACATGTTTGTGCTTTGTATAGAATATTACCATAAAAGATTGGATGTGAAATACCTGAACGTATAAGATGTCTGCATGTTGATTTATGTTTACGAATGATATCCTTGTACCGATGATAACATTTAGGAATGTTTTGACTAGTTTGTGATATCGAAAAACCCTGGTGTAATAATTTTTCAGAAATACAGAGATTTCTTTCGTTAAAATCAAATACGTTGTTACATACACGAGCGAATCGAACAAGTTGAGATAAATAAACACCATAAAATGGTGAGAAGGGAACGTCATCATCTAAAAATAGATACTAGTAATTAACAATAGGATATGAAAAATCATCTCTTTCATCATAAATTTTGGTATTAAGCTTCCTGTTAAAGATATAGATATCAAGATCCAGGAAAGGGCAGTGTTCATTGTTAGTATTAGCTTTATTTAAAGTCAGTTTAGCAGGATAAATCTCTTTAGTGTACATACTGAAGTCGTCATTATTGAGAGCCAATATATCATCCAAATATCTTAAAATGTTATCAAATTTATGTATAGATGTTGTTTCGATGGGTCTTTGCTGATGTTAGTCATAAATTGTAACTCATAACAATACAGAAACAGGTCCGCAATAAGTGGTGCACAGTTTATTACCAAGTTTTTGATTGTACCAAGTGTACTAGTAAGTAGAATAAACAGTTTAGTAGTGGAACAATGGCTTGAAGACGAAATAAATCTATATTTGTAAGGTGTTTTGTGCAGCTTTGGAAGCCAGAACATAGTTGGAACTTTCATTGTATTTGGTTCTGCTTGTAAAGAGGCAGCTAAAAGTTTATGTTTGTTACAGATGTCATTTTCCGAAAATTGAGTCAGTCGGAATATTGGTGAATTCGTGATTTCCTTTTGCAGAACCTCAATGTAAAATTTACGTCAAACAATAATGATATTATTAGCAGCCTTATCAGCCGGAACAAAAACAAATTCCTTGACGAGTTCTTTTAGCTTATGTTTGATACGAGAAATAGGGCTATTATTGTTGTTGTTAGGAGTAAAATGTTCTTTAAAATGTTTAATACGAATATCAACTATGTTCATTACTGAATTAAAAAAAGAATCTAAGGACTTTTTGTCAGCTTTATCTCGTTTTATCCATTTTGAGCAGTAAGTACAGAGTGAGTCGTAGATGATGTTTGAATCAGCCTTTTGTAGAAGAATGGATAAGAAGTGTGGAATTCATTTTACCGGTTAAATCGAGTAAAAGTAACAGTTGTTTTAAAACTATATTTAAACTTAAAGTAAACAAAACAAAGAATTCTTTATCCTGCAATAACATATGAACTGTAGGTATGTTATCTCTTATCGGGTACATATGTTCATCGGTAAATCCAGAAAAGCGCTTCGGACGCATGCCTTTTATTAAGTGTTATTTTCATTTTTATCAAAGAAGATATCGTTTTGACTGCAGAAACATGCAGTTATTACAGAGCCAAAGCACTCGACCTTTTACTCTTTAACAACTGCCTTTTTCTGGTTCTCTTCGTGGCAAACTTTGAAACTCAAGAACATAAAAAATATACAGGACACAAACATCATTAAACAATATTCCAAATTTAATAGTTGATGAATTATTTGATTAATGAAATTGAACCTTAAAAACATCATCGGAATCCATATTATTACCTAGCACTGTCTTGAATCTTAATTGTTACTTAAGAAAACTAACTATTAACAGAAATTGGGAATCCACAAAATTGCTTATTACATATGTTGAAAAATTATTTATTCTTACACACATTTCTTAGTTGATGGTAATTGGGGAAGTTGGGCTTCCTGGGGAACTTGCTCCGTAACCTGTGCAAGTGGCACCGAAACAAGACAACGTCAGTGTGACAGCCCAACACCACAGCATAGTGGACAAGATTGTAGTGGTTCGGATATAGATACACAAACATGTACTCAAGTCCCTTGTCCAAGTATGTCTTATAACAATTTTGGAATATGCATTAATGAAAACATATATACAATTATCTGGTAATCATAAAAGTGACGTATAATATGACAACACGTACATTATTCGGATTTGTATGATTTATTTTTGAAATATCTATATCATGTTTAAGATTATATTTTATTTATCTTAATCTCGTTTTTTACGCTTTAGAAAAAACCTGGAAGAATGCGCTCGAGAATTTGTCTGTTTTGGTGCAAATAGTAATTGAATGAATATCGTTGTAATTGGCACTTCGCTTATTTGTATATGCCTGGACTTTTATAAGGGTAGATTTCAGTAACATATATTACGTGCGATGCTTTAATTTTGAATGATATGAATTTCTATTTATCAAGAACTCATGAAAGATAAAATGAATGATTTTGTACAATTTCATAGTTGATGGTATGTGGGCTGTATGGGGTACATGGGGAACTTGCTCTGTATCATGTGCAAGTGGTACACAGGATAGATCCAGAAATTGTGCTGATCCTGCACCAGCCCATAGTGGAGCCGATTGTGTTGGGTCAGGTACAACAACACAAACATGTACTCTAACGCCATGTCCAAGTGAGTAAAATATAAATTAAGATTTCAGGCTAAAATGGAAATGGAGTAATTAAAACTCCACACAAAACCATTTGATAATGAAAATTGTTCTTACGGAAGCATGATTTTACTGTACTAGACTGAGTTACCAATTATACTGCTGATCGAAAACATTACGTCATCTATTTTTGGATAAATATTGATTCCAAAATCGTTGTTACATCATACGTTTTTGAGAGCTGTTATTTTCGTCTATGTATAAAAAAAGTTCACAATTTTCTTTGAACATTTAATCTCAAGCTCGTGTCGAATTGTCTAATTTTGGTGTTAAAAGTTACTTGGAAATACAGCGTTCGCTGTCAGTAGAGCATACACTTTATATCACTAAGCACATATTACTTGCTTTTAGTAACTGTTAGCATTCTTTAATACGATATTTTTTTATAATTGTAAATTCTAATATTGATCATGAGTCAAGGAATTTTTCTAACCTTACTTTTTAATTCAAATTCTTTGATGTTACCTTGTACAACAATTTATGTGTTGTTCTTTCTGATAAATAGTTGATGGCGAATGGTCAAATTGGTTATCTTGGGGGACTTGCACCGTAACATGTGATGGCGGAACACAAGATCGTACTAGGTCGTGTACAAATCCAGCTGTACAATATAATGGATCACCTTGCGCTGGTAATGGTCAGGAAACACAATCGTGTAATACTCATAGTTGCATAGGTATGTATGAACCAAGTTTGATAAGTTAAAAAGTTTTCATGTATAAATGACAATTTCAAAGATTCAGTTTTAACTTGGTGAGTTTTAAAATCTACTGATGTAACGTTCTCATGTTAATCAATATTGTTATGCCACAATAGTTCTTTTCAATTTATTAAAAAAAATAAAAACAATGAACAAACTGTTGACACCACAGAGTTTTGTCTCGCGTTTTGCAATTTTGATGGTATTATACAAATGTTGAAATTAAAATGGCAATATTCAAACATGTAAACTATGCAAATCTTTAAAAGTCAATGAATTATGACCAAAGATGCAGGGCCAAATAACCTCTGTGGAATGTTAAATGACATGCTTATAAAACTGCATACCAAATACCATTGACTTATCATAAGCGGTTCCCTTTAAACTAACCCAAACACAAACTTTCACTTGTAAACTATGTCAAAGTTTCAAAGTTAATGAACCGTGATGAGATGGTAGGGCCATTTAATCTCCATGGAAATGAGACTTGCAAATGCCAGTACAACTGCATACCAAATATCATTGACTCAACATTAGTCGTTTATCTAAAACTGATTTAATCACAAACTTTAACATGCAAATAATGCCAAACATTCAGGGTCAATGAACCACGACTGAAGGGGGGAGGGGGAAAATAATTTCCACCGCAATGCGATGTGCCAATTCTTATACATCTGCATACCGAATATCACTGACCTACCACTAAAAGTTCCCCTTAAACTGACCTAATCACAAACAAAAACATGTAAACTAAGCAAAAGTTTTAAAGTCAATAGACCATATCTGAGCGGACATGGCCAAATGATCTCTATGGAAATGAAATGTCCCAATGCTTATACAACTGCATACCGAATATCATTGACCAACCACTAATGGTTCCCCTTAAACTGACCTAATCACAAACTTATACATGTAAACTAGGCAAAAGTTTCAAAATCAATAGACCATGACTTCTAGGGTCGGGCCGAATGATCTCTATAAAAAAATGAGATGTGCAAATGCTAATACAACTGCATACCAAATATTATTGACCTACGCACCACATGTGGATCCCCCTTGAACTTGACCTTATCTCAAACTTATACATTGTTGACGCCGCCGCCGGCACGCGAGACAAAAATGCAATAGAACTGTATAGCTGGTATGCATATAGGATATAAGAATGTAAGAATGTGTATTAATACATCAGGCGATCTAGAATATTTATACAAAACTACAGACAACGCCGACTGAAATAACTTTCTGTAAGTTGACCATTAGAAAGTGCCAGAACAAAAAGATATTCACTTTTTGGCTTTAAAATTTATTTTGTTTTCAAACTCGCGAAAACTATGGGATTGTAACATACGGAGTCAATGGCAATAACATACTTACATTTTAAAAAAATAATATTTTTGAACTTGTCCTCAGAGAATTGTCAACAACCAAACCAGGAGTCGGCACTTATTGTTCGAAAAACTAAGAATTTCTTACCCCATGAATTACCATGATTACCATAGCTAGATTTGGTAAATATATTTCGGAAATTTGGGTCCTGAATAGTACTTAACTCGGTATCTTTTTTGGCCTTTTTGATTTTTTGAATTTGATAGCGTCACTAATGATTCAGTGGAAGACAAAAAGTGGGTCTCGCGTAAAAAATCGTAGACCTGGTATCTTTGATAAGTTTTTTTCACACAATTTGATATCATTATTTTAAACAAAAAATTTATCGTGCAATTGGACCATAGCGTTTTTTGTTATGTGTTCAGTCAATTGTGATGGTAAACAAAATTCAAGAATAAGAGTTTGTGATTATCCAATGACAGCCAATAAATGACGGTTGTCTATTGTGTAAATCTTTCGTTTCTATGCAACACCATTCCAGCAGCCCCTGTAAAAGGAGGAAATATCTTAGAGTTTACGATTCCTTTAATGATTTTGTTGATTGGTGGTAGCTGCGCTTACCTTACAAGGAAGCTTTTGAACCAAGAGTTGGTTGTATTGTTATTCCTTCGAAAGTTTTATGGAGGCCAGCCTGATTTGGTTAATTGTTATGGAATATCAGGGGAAGGAGATTCTGCTAAAAATCTTTTGTCGAACCACGGAATGTTTGAAAAATACCCCACTTAAATTATATATATTTATACATGTCTGTATAGTCTTCCATAAGATAATTGTATTCACACATTGCATATTTTCCCAAACAGTTGATGGGGCATGGGGACAATGGCAGTCGTGGGGTGTATGTTCAGTTACTTGTGGTGGTGGTCGACAATCGAGAATGAGAGTATGTGATGATCCAAGGCCAGATAATGGTGGACTTCCTTGTAGTGGTTCATCAAGCGAATATGGCTACTGCAACATACAAGCTTGTCCAACGTCAGGATATGGTGCATACGTACAGGTAGGTTTAAGTGGTTCATTTGAAGTATTTGTAAAAACATTTATTGATGTTATTGTTCTTATGTTTTGGATTGTTTATATGTGTAAAAAAGGAAGTTGAAAGCAAAACACAATAAACTACAGACATAAATAAAAAGGGATGTTTGAATAAAAAGCTACGATCAAAATATGTATATATTGCATATTTTTGTATTATTTCAAATCTCATTTCAAATACATCCGTATTTAGCTATAAAAATCAGCAAACTTTATTAATATAGATTTCGCACCATCCCGTTGGTCATGATATTTATCTACTCGGAGATTTTTCCGAACTTTTAAATGCAAGGTTAACTAAAGATTTAACTACCGCGCGTGTACATATATTGTATGTATATGGGACTAAAGTGAGAGAATCTGTTTTTCTAATGATTTCATGTTTGAAATGAATATGACAGGAACATGTGGTGTATCAAAATTTATCAAACTGGCCAAAACCGGTTTAAATGGAAACATAATTACTAGAAGACAAATTTATTTACCCTAAATGTCAATTACATAATCTATTTGAATTTCTTGGTAGACATGTCCAACGGGTTGGTTTTCATGCCAGCATGGGTCCATTTCTTGTATTGATGAGGCATTTAAGTGTGACTGCGTCGAAGACTGCGAGGATGGCAGTGACGAGACAACGTCATATGCCAGCTGTGATCCATATGTTTTGGTGACCTGTCCTAGTGGTGCTGATAGTAAGTAATTTCTGGTTGACTAGTTAACACTTAGTAGAATTATGGAATTGATTCTTTACAAAACGTTTAAAGTCATATGAAACGTGTTTCTTGTAATTATAATGTTATGTAAATTATTGAACCAATGCATGCATATATACTAAACTAATTCATGTATGCACTTTTTTTTACATTTATTACGAATCTACAACGTATTATCGACAAATAAAATTTCATTCAGTGATTGTTGATTGCAAGTTAATTTACTTCCGAGTTTGTTGCCGAAGTTTACCGGATCGTAACATTGATAAACAATCAACACAGAGCACGTGGTCACATGGAAATATGTGAATTACTAAAGCCATGATATATATATATATATATATATATATATTTATTTTCCATGCGTTCCTATTTGTTAATTAAACTTTTCCTTAAAAGTTATTGAATGAATTTGGTATATTTAATCGGTTCTTTGAGAACCAGTTATTACTATTTACCTTCCCGTGTACGTTTATTTACATTCTTCATCACGGGTTCCCCCTCGCACTTATGCTGTGTGGTGGCCGAAGTTTTAACGAGAGGTCTCGTAGTTAAGGTCATTGCATACGGGAAAATATCGGCTAATTAGTGTACAGGAAGACAATAATATAATAGCAGTACATTTATGAAGATTTTGATAATATAAAGGATTTTCTTTTACAGAAAGTTCCCGTGCTCTTGTATATAAAACATATTCATTTTTTTTTTTTAAATTTGAAGTTTCATAATCCAAATATTACTTCATGATAATGGATTATACTCCACAATATTGCACGGTGTTAGTTTTTTTACAATAGGTATCAGTATTTTATGTAGTTTATGTATTATGTGTGATGCAGGGAAATATCACGAGTAAAAATGTAAGTCTTAGCCCAATTTTTATCTTTACATTATTTGAAATGTTTTACTGTTTGAAATAAAAAAAGTTTGTCTTGGTGAAGGTGTATTTACTATAATATCAGTGGTATATATTTTCGTTAGCACTTTTTCCGGTATGTCATAGAAAACAATTTTCGAGAATTGATTTTCAGGTCTTCATTTTCTCAGTGTGTACAGTGTATTTCTCCATCATATTTTAAGCAAGATTATTATTTCTTTCTCTCATTTTTTTATATATCCTGGTTATCAACATAATTATAACAAACAAGAAGCAACAGTAGCTTGCAATGTTCAAGTTTCATAAATCAATAAAGATCATTCAAATCAAAGTAAAAACAAAGCTGAGGGAATCGCATAAATCCCCCCCCCCCAAAAAAAAGGAGACCAATGTGGCAATAGGGTAAACGTCTCCTGCTAATCAAACATCATCCATAGGGCGATTCAACACTCCAAAAATATTGGAAAAAGGACACAATCGGTTAATTTACAGATGAGACGACTATTCTAGTATCTTAAAATGTGAAAACCTTTACATAGATATAATTTAATCGCATTAAATAATTTTCAAAGTTTTACGGTTATCATGAAATATCACTGAAATTTTGTTTAAAAATAAACGTATCGGTAAAAATGCTATTGATATTTTGTCCTTTGATTTAATTTTTTGGTAGACTGTTGTAAAAACGATATATTGTGCATTCCATAAAGGGGTTTAAAGTATTATCCTGACACGGAAATTCAATATAATGTTTTACTCTGTTTCAGAAATATCGACCATATCAGTGGTCACTGTTGTATGTATGATTGGAACAATGAGGATGCTGATGATGGTGTTGTGATATTGATAAACTTGATTATGGCTTATTTCGTTTATATCTGATTTCACCTATTTTGTCAACTGGTTGAAAGTGTTAAAGTTGTATATTAATATCCTAGACCTAAAACTGTATGAAAGAATAAAACACAAATATATCCTTAACTGTAAGGTCAATGAAACTAATACATTTTTCATGCACATATCAATATGCAGTTTGATATGTTTTTTTCGTTTTTCAGTGATGTTTGTACTGATATGCAACTGCTTGCTATATTGTATAGGTACTTATTTTTGCAGTGCATTTCTTTAAAAAGAATATTAACATCTTAAAAAAAAAGAAAGGCTTACATGTATCTAAAAAAAAAAAAACTGCATTTATTAATATCATTAAAAGTTGTTTTCTTATTTCGGAGGAGTCGAGCGTTGATGGTCTGTTGTGCTAGCTTTCTTTTTTTTTAGATACATGTAAGCCTTTCTGTGATTTTAAACCATAGTGTTCCTTTAAAAATAATGAGTTATTGAGCTTCTAGTCAAACAAATCATTTAAGATATGGTACAACTATAACATTTTTATATATGTTTTACTTTCCAAATGTTTGATCTCGAGTGGATCTGATGATGGTTATTTCAAAACCCCGTGTCTTGTGCATATAATTAGTATTTCACGTTTCATGTTCATATATATATATATATATTCACATGAATGCAAATACCACTTCAAATATTTCATGTGTACGAAGCGCTTTTCTTTATTTACCTTCATTAGGAACGCTCGAACCCAAACATTTCAAAGCCAGGAATATATAACTACGTACAAATGTAAGAAGATAAATCACCTAAAGTAAACTAAAAGAACGCTCAAAATTAGATCAGTTTCTAGTCAATTCCTTAATTTACCATATTTTTTTTTATCATGTCAGTACCGAAGCACTGAATATAAAGCAGATGGTATCCTCGGGGACTAACAGTCAAATAGAAGTGGTTATCGACCCAGTTCTAGAAAATAAAAAAAATAACACTTAAAATTTTCGTGCAACTCTTCAAATGAAGCAATTCGTCGAAAACGTGATAAACTGTTTGAATCTGCGAAGGTTTGCAAACGAAATGCTAAAAGTACAGTAATGTTATGTCTTAGTCGAAAAGAGATTGGACAAGAAAGCCTGGATACTAATATATGTATCAAAAAATGAAGTGTCATTGACCTTTCTGGGTAATTTTATTCAAACTCCTTTCTGGGATTTAAATTCCAGGTAAAACAAAAATAATAAAGAAATGTGCGAAAAAGTAAAATTAAGGGAGAAGAATTTTTGCGATAAACCAAAGCATGAGGGTAATAATGTAGTCTCATAACAAAAATAAGGAGATTTGATTTGATTGCTAATGAGACAACTATGCACTAGAGTTCAAATGACGTGGATGTAAGCAAATATAGGTCACCGTTGGCGTACGGCTTTCGAGAACAGGCAGAACTCATACAAAAAGGTCAGTTTTTAAAGGTTCCGACATGTCAAACAATTCAACGAGAAAACTAATGGCCTGGGACAGGCACATTAAGAATGTGGCCGAGTTTAACATATCTGTGAGTTCTCAATTCTCTCCATAACCTGGGACAATAGTCTATTGCATGTAGATACTAATTAATGTATTGGATATACAAGATGCCTATTGGATTGGTTTTTGAGGAAATATAGGCTACAAACTATCAAATATTATAGCATTTCATACTGTACAAATTACGAAGTAATACTTTCGTTAAATTTTTTTGTTTGGACACTCTAGTGTATACTTAGATATATATAAACATTAACTTCAGAACGAACATAGATATTTGGTAACTTTAAAAAATGGGGGAATAATGAACTAGTTTGAAATTGACGTTTCGTTTCGTTTATATCTGTAACTAATACGCATCTCCAAAAATTGACCAAAATGAATTTCACCGGTTATCTCATTTGTTCCGGAGTGGATATTAGTTTCTGCCCCGATAGTGACAAACGTCATGTTGCCAATGGCAAGTGCATATTGGTGCTAAGATGAATTCGTCAATACTTCAATCATGGAAGTCAGGAAGGTATTTTGGCTACGACAAGTTAAACATAGGTGTTCGTCTACGTCATTTACAATAGATATCAAAGGTACCAGAATTATAATTTAATACGCCAGACGCGCGTGACATGTAGGTAACATGATTGAAAAGAACTTAATTAGAATCTACTTTGTCGATTTTTTTCTAGTGGTAATTATTCACTTGTAATGTGTTTGTTCCATATTGAATTCCCTGCCGATTTAAGAATTAGAATTAGTCCATAAAAACTGCTCCGAAAACTAAGGGTGTTTTTTTTTTTTTTTTTTGGTTTTGATCAATATGAATATAATATGAATATAATTGACGTAACACATATTACATAAAACGTGGAAGCGTTTCTTGGTTAAATGTTCATTTTCAATTGTACATTTCTAGTTATGTTTAATGGACTTTAGCCTGCTCTCTCATCTTTTTTCTTTTGTCAGTTACCTGTAGATAAATACAGTGGATATGCTGCTCATGGAAAGTTACAAATACTCCGCGCAAAGGTCGTTAAACATTCTGTCTCAATTAGCTTTAGGTTGCTTTAGAATATGCAAAGATATATTACGATTTATCATGGTTACTCCTCTATTCTTGGTCTATAGTAATGACATTGCTGATAACATCCTTTGACTTTGTATATGGTTTGCTGATGACACGTACATGGTCCTTCAATAGTGAAGTATACAAAATATTGTTAATTTTAATCTTCGAAATATTGCAAATTGAACAAAAAATGGCTTGTCGTTTCAAACTCAGATAAGACAGAAATACTGTTTTTAAGCAATAGAGGAATACCGAGTAAATTGAGCCTTTCATTCGGAGATATATCAAGCTATGATAGCAAATTGACAAAGCACATTGACACTTAGTCTAGTTTAAAAAAAGGCTTTACAAAAATTGCAGTTTTTAAAAAGCTCAAATTTAAGATATCTAGAAAATATCAGGTAAATCTATTTTTTACATTTATCAACCCTATTACTTATTACAAAATTTGAGATCATTGTTATGTTTCTGATATTCTGATACTCGAAAAAATCCAGCTCGAAGCCGGTATAATTGTGACAGTTTTTACACTGTAGAATAGCTAACATCCGTTTATACTGAAACAAGCTTGGGAAATCGTTTTTGTTAGGAGTGAAAGTTTATAAAAGTGTTGCAACGGAACTAGGCAACAATGATAATTTACGTAATGCTATTTACTTTGTCGTTACTTTGTGTAGACTAATCCCATGTAAGAACTCATTTATCAATCTTCGGATCACCCTAATCTGCTCGTTTTAAGATTTTTCCTCCGAAGACAGCAAACTTCATCACATCACACGCGTTTTGTGCTATGTTGTTACATTTTTTCTGTTCAAATAACAATTTTATGTCAAGTGTACTATTGTCTAATGTAATGATAAATTGCATTGGAGAGGACCAGGTAAGTTTAAACATGTGTCCTACTCCGTTTTTGACAATAAAATATGGAAATATGTTTAAACAAGTAATATTACAAATAAAATATAGCATGCTTTAGCAATGATCTTGTGCAGTAAAATCGGTACCTTTAATGTTATTGGCGAAATAACTGGAACAGAATAAATCGTTCCATTTCAAATTCCAAATCAGATGATATGAATGTGAAAATCTATTGCAAAATCGTTTTTTAAGTGAAGTATTATATGTCTTTATTTAAAACTCATTAAAAATGCCAGATTTTTTATCTAGTACAACAACACTCATCAGTGGCGCTAGAATTTAACCAGTTGCGAGGCTGAATTCATTACGCAGGTGACTGAAGTAAATTGAAAAGGCTAACGGTGCGAAACGTTCTGCCAATCTGGCTACGATCATCTGTGTCTAGGGATAGATAAGTAAACTCTATATGTTTGGAATGTTTTTCACATTTTATTTCATGTCATCACAGACATGCTATTTGGCTGGTAATATATATAAATCGGAAACACAAAATAATGTAGTGTCTATGGACATAAAAGCATCTAGAGCAACTGCCGCGTATTTGGGGAATTACTTGTATTATTAATTTTATCATTATTATTATCATATTACTTTCAAAACTGTAATATTTATCTTGTTTTATTTTCTTGTTTATGACATTTTGAATATTAGTCGGATAAAAGCAGGATATGTATATTCCATGTCAATTTTGGCGGTGTTATCAAACGTATCCCGACCCTATTATATTACATTCTTTATTTCTGTTTTCTGTTAACTTTTTGTTATTAGTCAAACGACCTGCGACTTATATCTCATATATTTTGAGGAGCCATAGGATTGAAACTTAACAATAAATCAAATTCTGAAAGGTTATAGTCCCAGATGAAGGGTAGATAAATTGCTATAAAACCAGGAATAACACACAATTTTTTTGAAAATTTCTATACCAATTCAGGAGTACAATAATTGTTTTTCAGAGGTTCCGTTGTTGATATAGTCGAGCGTTTGGTTCTGTCAACTTTCATGGAGTTCCGCCTTTTTAATTTAGCATTGGAGTTCGTTAATTTTGTTACTGCTTTTGTTTTTGACTGCCAATGAAAAAGGATTGTATATTGGGTACGAGCAGATATCCCATAATTATATAGTTAACCAATTGAAAATTGAGGTAAATATGAACACTTGTCTATTGTTGAAGACAATATTTGGTCGTGGGGGTGCTGACTTATTGACATATATATACATATTCTCTTACTCATAGGCCAATCATCTATATAAGAGATTGTTGAAAACCTTTTAGTGCAACAAAGGTCATGACGTTATCAACATGGTCAAATACAACATTTACGAAAATGAATAAAACATAAAATTCATTAAGAATAATATCACAATACATCACATTTGTAATATTGCACTAGCATATATTAAGATATAGTAATATTAACGCTTTATACTTTACCAATTAAATTCGACTTCAATGACAGAGGTGTGCTCATGACACAAAAACTGTCCCA